GGAGGAGGGAGGGGGAGGGGGAGGAGGGAGGAGGGAGGAGGGAGGAGGGAGGAGGGAGGAGGAGGGAGGAGGAGGAGGAGGGAGGAGGGAGGAGGAGGAGGGAGGAGGAGGAGGAGGAGGAGGAGGAGGAGGAGGAGGAGGAGGAGGAGGAGGAGGAGGAGGAGGCCAGACCTCCAGAGGTGCGAAGCACGAAGCACGAGTTCCGCCGGCGAAAAGGCCGCCCCCACCCCCAGACATGTCTTGGGCGACCAGGTTTGATCTTCAGACTTCAGTTGTAGCTGATGACGCGCAGTCCATTTTTTTTCCCAACCGTCCTCGTTTGAAGAAACGGTTCCCGCGTTTCCTCCTTCCTTGTTTTGAAGAGACGGTCCCCGCGTTCCCTCCTTCCTTCCTCACTTCTTCCTCCCCTCCTCCCTGCACCGCCCGCATGCGTCACGCACACCCATTTCGGCACAACCCTCACACGTTTCGTGGCCCCACAGGAGGCTCCACCGAAGGCCCCAGTGCCACCGCCCGCATGCGTCACGCGCACCCATTTCGGCACAACCCTCACACGTGTCGTGGCCCCACAGGGAGCTCCACCCAAGGCCCCAGTGCCACCGCCCGCATGCGTCAAGCACACCCATCTCGGCACAACCCTCACACGTTTCGTGGCCCCACAGGGAGCTCCACCGAAGGCCCCAGCGCCACCGCCCGCATGCGTCACGCACGCCCATTTCGGCACAACCCTCACACGTGTCGTGGCCCCACAGGGAGCTCCACCGAAGGCCCCAGTGCCACCGCCCGCATGCGTCAAGCACACCCATTTCGGCTCAACCCTCACACGTTTCGTGGCCCCACAGGGAGCTCCACCGAAGGCCCGAGTGCCACCGCCCGCATGCGTCAAGCATACCCATCTCGTCACAACCCTCACACGTTTCGTGGTCCCGCAGGAGGCTCCACCAAAGGCCCCAGTGCCACCGCCCGCATGCGTCAAGCACACCTAATTCGGAACACGCCTCACACGTTTCGTGGCCCCATAGGGAGCTCCACCGAAGGCCCCAGTGCCACCGCCCGCATACGTCAAGCACACCCATTTCTCATCACACGCCTCACACGTTTCGTGGCCCCACATGGAGCTCCACCCAAGGCCCCAGTGCCACCGCCCGCATGCGTCACGCACGCCCATTTCGGCACAATCCTCACACGTTTCGTGGCCCCACAGGGAGCTCCTCCTAAGGCCCCAGTGCCACCGCCCGCATGCGCTTCGCAAACCCATTTCGGCCCACGCCTCACACGTTTCGTGGTCCTACAGGGAGCTCCACCGAAGGCCCCAGTGCCACCGCCCGCATTCGTCACGCACACACATTTCGGCACAACCCTCACACGTTTCGTGGCCCCACTGGGAGCTTCTCCTAAGGCCCCAGTGCCACCGCCCGCATGCGTCAAGCACACCCAATTCGGCACACTCCTCACCCGTTTCGTGGCCCCACAGGGAGCTCCACCGAAGGCCCCAGTGCCACCGCCCGCATGCGTCAAGCACACCCATTTCGGCCCACGCCTCACACGTTTCGTGGCCCCACTGGGAGCTCCACCGAAGGCCCGAGTGCCACAGCCCGTATGCGTCACGCACACCCATTTCGGAATCCCCCTCACACGTGTCGTGGCCCCACAGGGAGCTCCACCCAAGGCCCCAGTGCCACTGCCCGTATGCGTCACGCACACCCAATTCGGAACACGCCTCACACGTTTCGTGGCCTCACAGGGAGCTCCACCGAAGGCCCCAGTGCCACCGCCCGCATACGTCAAGCACACCCATCTCGGCACAACCCTCACACGTTTCGTGGCCCCACAGGGAGCTCCACCGAAGGCCCCAGTGCCACCGCCCGCATGCGTCAGGCACACCCATCTCGGCACAATCCTCACACGTTTCGTGGCCCCACAGGGAGCTCCTCCTAAGGCCCCAGTGGCACCGCCCCCATGCGTCAAGCACACCCATTTCGGCACAACCCCCACACGTTTCGTGGCCCCACAGGGAGCTCCACCGAAGGCCCCAGTGCCACAGCAAAGAAACACACAGACACAATTAATCGTCGACTCCCAGGAAAGTATGGGAAAATATTGGAAAATATGGGAAGTGTGGGGGGGAAGACAAAAACCCAGAACATATGGGAAAACATTGAGAATCCTTTTATTTGTGTGCATTTATTTGTGTGTCCTGGGGCCCCTTCAGAGATGGCGTTTGCATGTGCAGTTTTTCGCAGCCCAACACCGTTACCGTTGGTCGCTCTCCTCGCGTTGCCAGCTCCCTCTGCCACTGCCTGCCTGCGTGCTCGAGCTGACGCCAGCAGCATTGTAGCTGATGCAGTGTGTTCTGCTTCGCCGGCGGGCGCCGACCACTGCTGCTTCCGGCGCCAGCTTTCCCGCACCGCCAACCTTTGCTGCTATTGATTTCCTTCTCGCATTGCAAGTCCCTGCTGCCGTCGCGTGCCTTCTCGCCAGAGTTGACCCCAGCAGCCCTGCAGCTGAGGACGTGTTGTTTGCGTCGCCATTTTGCACCGGCAGCCGCTGTTGCCACTGCCCTCTCGCACCGACAGAGCCTGCTGCCACTGTCCGCCTTCTCGCACGAGCTAGCCCCGCCATCGCGCAGCTGAGGATATGACTCCTGCGTGGCCTCTTGGCACCAACAGCCGCTGCTGCCACTGCTTCCTGCTCGCACCGACAGACACTGCTGCCATTGCCTGCCTCTTTGCACGAACTGATCCCCGCTGCAGTGTAGCTGATGATGTTGCGCCTGCGTGGCCAGTTGGCACCGACACCAGGTGTTGCCACTGCCTGGTCTTTCGCTCAGGCAAATATTGTTGCCATTGCCTGCCTCTTCGCGCGAACTGACACCTACTGCAATCTAGCTGAAGATGTCGCGCTTGCGTGACACCCGGGCAACCACATCTTCTGTTGCCACTGCTTGATTGTTGTTCGTTCTCACGGTGACGATCCCTGGTGCTACTGCTTGCTCTGTCACCGACACCGTTCCGAGCTTTTGTTCCGATGACACAGCTGACCTTGGCTGGCTGTTGTTCGCTTGCGTCCACGCACGAGTCGCTCCCAGCACTGTAGATGATGACGCTGCTGTTCTTGGCAGGCCCCTGCTTGCTTGCGCACGCACCGTTCCCAACCTTTGTAGCTGATGATGTATTGGTCCAGCTTCCTCATACTTGCGTGCAAGTTGGCAGTAGCGCCGTAGCTGGCGCCACTTAGCGCCAACGGTGGAGTAGAGGAGGGGAGAAACGAAGAGGAAGAGAGGTGGGCGATGTTTCATGGCGGGCGCGCGCGCCTGATCTCAACATTGCAGCTGGCGTAGTGAGGCGCCACGCTTATTGATGTCGGCTGTCGCGAGCAAGGCCATTCCGACATTTGCCTACGAAACACCCTGGCGCGCCCCATGCAGGGGGACCGCTCGTTCGCGACTTCACTAGGAGGAGGCGTAGTGGAAATGACAAGGAAATCCAAGGCATATTTTCCATTAGCCATTATGTAATCCTTATGGTGGTCCACGTTCTTGTGGCTGTCGAGGATTGAACTTGGTGCCACGACTGTCTAAGGTTGTTCGGTTTGATCATAGCTCGTGATTGGGGCTTCCAGGTCAAGTGAAGGTACACGGTAATTGTTCGAGCACGTGTTTTCTTGTGTTCGTAAGTTTCCGTGGTTTGTTGATGTGATTCTGAATGTGTCATGGTCCCAACGCCGTTGTTGGTGTCTTTCTTTTCTTCCGCCACTATGAATGACTAGTGCATCATGTCAGCTGACGGGTGAGAACCCTCCCCCTGGCAACATCCACTCCAACCCGACTGCTTGTTCAGCACGGCAAGGACGTTTGCGTTATCACAGCAAAGCATCTCCAATTCACAAGGACTTGTCTAGAGCGGACGCACGCAGGCCCCGACATGAATCAAAATGTGTCCCACCACGGGTGTGCCCGGTGACCGCGCCTCCCACTTAAGTAGTTGTTCGGCCGGTCGCCGATGTGACCGAATTTTGGGCCCGCAAGTCACGAAAGTCATGCAGACAGCAAGAACATGATTCGCACCGATCTCGACATATATAACAAAAGCATTCACGCAATTGCCTAGAGTTCCACGCAGATGTCTTGGATCGGCGCTAGGCCCCCTCTGGCGTCGCCTCCGGCGCCGCGCGAGGCGCTTTTTGCGCGCCAGAGAGGCACGTCTGGTACAGAGCCAAACAATTCGCGCGGATCTCCGACAATGTATGTTCATATTGTTGGTTGTTGTCGTTATTCAGTCGGATGATTATGATTATGATTATTTTTGTTAGTACTGCGCCCTCTCTCCTTGTTTCTAGCAACCTCTACATGCGCGGTGGCGGATTGGTACGGCACAGTAGGTGGTGTCTTCGGAGTTCCCCAGCGTACGCCTTCGTTTTGCCCAATCGATGTTCCTGACCTCGAGTGTCATCAACCGTGGACGACAGCGTCCTCTGTGATCCCACGGGCGGGGGCACTAGGAAATTTCACCCACTGACGGGGGCGATGCGCAACAGAGCCACGTTACCTCGAGTCCCCCCGCCGCTCCCCGTGCCGCCCGGGCCCGCCCTGCCCCCCCCCCTCCCATCCTGACCGCCTCCCGTTGTGCCTCCTTGTGCGCTCCATCCCCGCCGCCCCTGTCCCTTTCCCGCCCCTCGGTCGCCCCCTTCGGCCCCTCCCGTTGCCCCTCCCCCTCCCGCCCTGCTCGAAACTGGCTGGGGAGGAGCACGCTGGGGCGCGAATTAATGGGGGGGATACGACTTGGGGGACGACAAGTGGATTTTCCGGGCCCTCAAGGTTCCCTTTGCGGCCGTACAGGCATTGATCGGGGCCTAAAGGATCCTTTTCTGCAGCACTCGCTCCCCCCCCCCCATGTGTCGCCCCCCCCCCCCCATTTATCGCCGCCCAACATGCTGTGGTTTCGGAGTGGCGCTTCTTCGATCCCATCTGCGCCGTCCGCCTTCGGCCCGACAACCCGGAGGAACATCGCTGGAACATGTTCTTTTCGGTCAGCATCTTGATCTGCGCTGGGTCGACCACCTGGTCGTACGCGGCGTTCGGAGAGGCGGACCGCCTAGCTGGCCGGAGTCTTGCGCGTTCGACCTTCTCGTTCTTTTTCCCATCCTCCCACATGTTCAGTCCACCGGATCGCCCTCGACACGCTCATTCGGGCACACACAGGCCACATGAGAAGACACGGAAAAATGTTCGAAGGCACAAACACCTTCACATGTGTATATCTAAATTGCACATGACCACATGCATATACATTTCTACAAATATACATATGAGGATGCATGTATATAGCCAGCTGAACCCACCATGATCCCCCTTAAACGCTTACTACATGGACTAGTATAGTCATTCTACATTTCCGGAACTGTTCCGACGGGGCCCCTCCCAGAGGCCCTGGCCGCAAAATTTCTTTTAGCCCACCATCATCAACATCTCCATGATCATCACACACACCAATCACCATCAACACCATCATAACCATCAGCATTACCATCGCCGTCGTCATCATATCATGACCCTCGTCCGCATCATCACCACCACCACCACCACCACCATCGTAATCATCATTGTCATGATCATCACAGACCGTGCGCGCGCGAGCCGGTACTCCATTCCTGGACACCGCACGAGGCCACGCCAAGGGGCGCACGCGTGACGTTACGAAAACGAATGTTCATTCGCTCGACTCCTGGGCTGCCGAATGCCAGTGGCACCGTTTGCGCATGGGGGAGGCATTACGGATGGCCGCGGGGCAGGGTAGGCCATCCGCTACCTCAACACGCCAAAGGAAAACCTGTGCCCCGTACCTCCCCGCCCTCCTCTACACCCGCCCCTTCGTTGAAGAAAACGTAGATTTCCACAAGCTCCGTCTCCAACGCGCCCCCTGTTACTCAACTCTCTCCGTCCCCAACAATTCTCAACATATTCAACAGGTTTCGTGTCCAACACGCCGCACGATATTCAACCGTCTCCCTCCTCAAGCTTCGAACTTGAAACGCTACTTCTACTGAATTCCCTCCGTCCCCAGCATCACCACATACTCAACGGCCTTCGTTCCCGACGCCACCCGATACTCAACGGGCCCCCTCCCGAAGTTTCCTTTGAAACGATCCTTCTACTCAATTCCCTCCGTCTCCAACACGCCCCCAGACTTTCATTGGCTTTCTGTCCAACGCAGAGCCCGATTTTCAACAGGTTCCCTTCCCAAGCCTAGCTTGAAAAAGTCCTTCTAGTCAACTCCCTCCGTTTTCAGCGCGCCCCCACATACTCAGCACCTTGCGCGTCCAAGGCACCACCCGGTACTCAACAGGCCCCCTCCCCAAGCTGCTTGATTTCAAAACGTTCCTTCTAGTCGCCTCCCTCCGTTTTCCAGCGCAACCACGCGCTTTCGTCATGTAATTGTGATTCGCCGTTGTGGTGGATGTTGTGTGGTACTAGGCTTGGTATCGGAGACTGGGAGCGTTCAGTATTGGGAGGTGTGCGCTTGACATGCCAGTTGCAGGGGCCGTGGGTGCAGTGTATTGATGGGTGACGGACGTGGACCGTGCAGCACGCTCATGGGTGTTGGGGTGGGGACAAGCGTTTTGTCCGTGCTGCGTTGTTTTGTGCCCGACCCTCAGCTGCTTGCAGCCGTGTCTTTTTTGCGTGCGTGACGTGGCCTGACCAGCAGTTGCACTCTCAGCATCGGTCTCGCCCCCATGGGCTTGCGGATGACCTTACGCCTGTCGCATGAGTTGGCCCGTGCTACCAGCCCCGCCTCGCAGCTGGACCAAGTCTGCCGGGTCGCGCATACGGGGTCACGGGATCTAGCGCCAGCGACTCTATCCATGAGCGGGTACAGGGGAGCGGGTAGAGGGAGCAGGCGAAGTAGACAGAGCACACGAGCAGAGACCGAGAGACAGAGAGAGAGAGAAAGAGACAGGGCGAGGGTGAGAAAGAGAGAGAGAGAGATAGTTGTTTGGTGTACATACATACATACATACAGACAGACATACATACATACATACATACATACATACATGCATACATGCATACATGCACACATACAGATACATGTACATATACATATACATATGCACATATATATGTATAGATGTTCATGCATGCATGTAAACATACATAATACAATGCAATACAAACTAACAAAGACAATACAATACAATGCACCACACTGCACTACACTACAATACATTTTATCCATACACACATACAGACGTACGTACGTACATACATACCTATACCTCTATACTGGTCTTCGGCCCGTGCCGATGCCGTGCCTGGGTTGTGGGTATGCAGCTTCGTGGACGTTCGTTGGGATCTCGTGCGAGGCGTCTCGGGGGCCTCTTACTGTAGAGCCAGTCTTGAGGCCTCTGGGGTGAGGTTGTGGGGCTTCTTGGGGCCTCTTGGGGGCCTCTGGGGGCCTCTGGGGCGTCTCTTGGTGTTTCCTGGGGCTTTTCTTGAGGCGGAAGATTCGCGTCGGTTCGTGGTCCCGCTCTTGCGCTCCTCTTGGGTCCATCATGGGGCATGATTTGGCCGTCTTCGGCGCCCCTTGGACCGCTTGCAAACTTCTTGGACCTACTGGGGGACTCTTGGGGCCCTCTTGGCTGGGAGAAGCCGCGGGAAGCTCCCTCCCGACAAGCCGCGATCAGCCCCGAGAGATTTGGCAATGTGGGTTCCGGCCCCTGAGAAACTCAGGAGTGATGATGTTTAGAGGATCAGGGAAAGGATCTGAGGGCACGCCCACTCTGTGCCCAGAGGCACGGTGGCGCATATGTGTATATATCTATATATGTACATATATACATATACATGTTCGTTTACCTACGTACAGGTCTATGTGTATATATGCGTACGCACCAACATGTCTGCACTGGTAACTTTAAATGGTATAATTGAAGGCTACGTATACTTGTTGCTCCATGGATCCATGTATATACGTAGAGAGAGAAAGACTGAGAGAGCGTGCGAGATATCCGGGAGAGAGAGCGAGGGGGGTAAGACAGAGAGAGGTGAGAGGGAGAGGCAGCAGAGGGTTCAAAGCAAGGTGGAATGGTACTCGTGGACATGTTGTGCACTCCCCGCGCAGTGCTTGCAATTAGGGTCTCTTACTTCCTTTCTAAAGGAACCTGGGACTGCGGTTCAATCTGGCAGCTTCGTGCTCGCCATCCAGCCTTGTCGCCGTCTCGTCGCCGCCCGTCGTCTGGGCCTGCGAACCGGTTTGGAGGCTCCGTGCTCGCCGTCGCCGCACCGTGGCCGCCTCGTCGCCGCACCTTGGTGGCCTGACGGCTCAGTGCTCGCCGTCGCCGCTCCGTCGCCGCCCCATCGCGGCCCATATATTGCACCACGGACATTGCACAACATAGATTGAACCACGCATATTCTCCCCTTTCTCTAACAGAGAATTCTGATCCATCCCCCTCCCCTCCCCGGACTTATCGGACCCCCTGGGGATGTACAATTTACATGTGGGTCTGCCCCATCGTCCATCCTAACTATGAATGCATACCGTCACAGGCAGGCCGGTATCGACCCCCCCCGTAATTCCTGGCCCAAAATATTTGGCGCGCGCATTTGTTCATCATCAATGATCAGCTTTCAAGAATCCCTTGAAGCAGAGGTGACGAAGTGCTCACGCGCTCGTCGTCGCGCGCGCATGCAGAAATTCCTCACAAAACATAGATTTCGGAAGCATTTCAAAATGTTTGCCCAAACAACACGTAACAAATCACGTGGCTTCGCAACACGCATTTTCAAATTATTCAGGCGAAAGGTGCAACCATCTGCAGTTGTGAGTACCGGAGTCGAGATTGTGTGTTTCGGTGGACCCTAGCCACATGCGAACGCAGCCGCTGGGGCCCTCAGTGGGGCTCCCTGTTGGAGCCACGAAACGTATGAGGTGTGTGTGTGTGTGCCGAAATGGGGGTGGAACGCCATGTGAACGCAGCCACTGGGTCCTTCTGCGGGGCTCCGTATGAGGCCACGGAACGTGTGAGGGGTGTGCCGAAATGGGGGGCGGATCCGCATGCGAACGCAGCCGCTGGGGCTTTTGGCACAGCTCCTCATGGGGCCACAAAGCGTGTGAGAGGTGTGCCGAAATGGGGGTGGAGCCGCATTCGAACGCAGCCAGTGGGGCCTTCGGTCGAGCTCCCTATGGGGCCACGAAACTTGCGAGGGGTGTGCCGAAATGCGGGTGGTCCCGCGCGTCGGCCGCGCGCGCATGTCGAACTCCTTCCAAAACCTTCGTCACCGACGCGAAGACGCCGTCATCGTCGTCGGCGTGATCAGCATCGGCGCCGTCACTGGCTGTGCCTTCGTCTCTGCTAGCATCGTCACCAGCACCGCTACTATCATCATCGAGTCAGCCTTTGTCGACGTTGCCGTGGTACCGCGCCCGCCAAAGTCGCCGACTCGCATTGAAATGCCCGTTGGGATGTGCCCAGCTGTCAGCGGCAACGCGGCTGCGTCGGACGCGCCGAACTAGCTGGCCGCTGCGCGCGCGTGCATGCGCGGGCTGGTGCAGTTGCAGATATGCACCAACCAACGCCAAGCGCTCATCGCAATCGTTGCCGCATAGGTTTTGCGAGCCAAGTTGCTGGTGGGTGGGTGGGTGAGATGCGTACAAGAGCGTGGAATGTGCCAACTCGTTTGAAAAAAATAGCACCGCATGAATTGCACCACGCCGGCTGCACCTTATAGATTGCGCGACAAGCCTTGCATGACACTATTGAATCGCATCGACTGCGCCACATAGGTTGCACCACGCCGATTGCACCACATAGGTTGTACCACATATCCTGCGCAACATAGATTGCACCACGCAGATGGCAGAACGTCGGCTGCACCGCATAGACCCGCAGCGAAGATTGCACGACATAGGTTGCATATAAACTGCTCCGCAACAGTTGCTCATATTATATATGTGTGTATACCTATATATATGTGTATATATATATACATATATATATATATATATATAGGTGTAGGCCGGGGGGGGGGCCCGGTTGCTGCCTCTGGCCGCCATGGCGGCCCCCCCCGGCCATTTTTTGGGCA